AATCTCTCGTAGGCAGGTAGAAGGAGTAAAACTGAGTCGAAAAGTCCTGAACCATTTTTTTTCTATTATTTATAATAAAAGAGTAATTATTAAGTAAATCAGGCCAATCAGCGCAGACCTTTAGCCAGGCGCACGTCAGTGAGCGCTCACACATACCAGGCGCGCGGCTTACTGACGTGCGCCTGGCTAAAGGTCTGCGCTGATTGGCCTGATTTACTTAATAATTACTCTTTTATTATAAATAATAGAAAAAAAATGGTTCAGGACTTTTCGACTCAGTTTTACTCCTTCTACCTGCCTACGAGAAATTGTACGGCAATTCTGGGACACCCTGTATATATATATACATACATATATATATATATATATATATATATATATATATATACTGTATATATATATGTGTGTGTGATGATCGTATTGAAATATATCATTGAATGCACAACGTCGAAAGTAAACTGGAATAAAAGTTGTTACACATTTGTCAAGAAAAAAAGTTTTGTGTCGAGCACAAGTTTTCATATTTGAGAGAGAGAGCGAAATTTTATGGAGAAACTTATATTTTTAAAATTCTGTATTTTTCTCTCTCTCTCTCTCTCTCTCTCTCTTTCTCTTAGAGACAGAAAAAATAGATTGTTTGAATTTATATTTTCAAAGTACCGTGCGCGCGTATATATGTGTATATATGTGTGTGTGTGTGTGCGTGTGTGTGTGTGTGTGTGTTTACGAGTGATTGTAAATAGTCACAAAGTCGGCGAGGTTGGTTTCGCGGAAAATACGCGGAGATAGTATATCCGTGTCAATAATGATACTATGAAATGTGTGCAAGAATTCTATTGGGATGTGGATAACGAGATTTTCCATGGATGAATAAACAGGTGTTTAAACAAATACATCGATCCAACGTTTATTAATTCCACGTAACGTCCTTTCGCAATCATTGCGGCTGTGCTACACGCACTAATCACGATTGGTTTCGGTTTTCATGGCGGATTGTCGGCTTGGTAAATAACCGAGCGAACAAATATCTCGACAGAGCATTTGTCAATAACGGATTGAAATTAATAGGACGGTAATACAGATTAGAGATATTATTATATATTATTGTTGCACGCGTGCTAATTAGATATATTTCAAACGAGAAAAAATTAAAAAATTGTTCTATTTACGAACATCTGTTTAAAAACCTAATTTGTGTTTTTGGAAAACGAATCCCTCCCCCCCTCCCCGTCCCTCTCGCACTTGCGATATACGTACGAAAAATTTGAAAAAAGTTTGAAGTTGAAAAAAACTCGTTTCTAAGGAATAACGCAGAAATGAATAAGATCATACGAGCCGCTTTCCAGGATATTATGCTGAAATGTTCTATTATATATATATATATATATATATATACATATATATATGTTCACATGTAAATTTTTACACGTGTTTTATGAATTGAAATTTCAATTCTTAAAATTAAAAGTTTCTTTATTAATTCGTCGTTTCTAAGGAGTTTCGGGGATGGCCGTGCGCAAGATCTCAATGTAGAATGTTTGAGCGCGCAATAAAATGGCAGACACTTGATAAGACACGGACGTTGAATAAAAATTATTATCTTTTCCGGTATTAAAGTGTCCAATTAAAATCACAGTGTGTTTGCGCAGTGTCATAGCTCAAAGGCAACAAGCTCCTTGATATGAATTTAATTAAACGTTTGTTTGTTTATCTAGACGAACGATTCTGCCCAACCCATCATCAGAGGCAACGCCGCTCGAGGCACGATATTACATTATCCTTATAGAATAGAGCGCGCGTTTCGCTCCAGCTATGTATTTTTCTTCTCCGCGCGATATATTTTATTGCAACGACGTTTTCGCGACCTATTTCCGTTCTTTTTCCAATCTCAATATCGGCGGCACAATCGATTTCAACGTCTCATTCTCCGGACGTTTACCCGCCTATCTGGTGTCCGCTTTTTATTTATTTATTTACACACTCGAACAGAGATTGCGATCACCGATACACGTCGCCATATTAATATACGGTTGCCGGGAACCGATCGATTTATTTAGACGTTGTTTATTTACTCGCGCGCGAATGTTTATTCAGCCAACTTCGTGTTGCGGCAAACGCGAGCGGTCGGGGGGATCAATGTTGTTATACCGGGATCGAGTTTGATCGCGATCGCGTTTTCGAGAGATATTCCTTAGATATTACTACTTCTCTCGGCGACGACATTAGAACTCGAACGATCTCGAAACGTATAGCAATATTTAAAAAGAAATGTTTTTGCGCGATCATATGTCCGCGTACGTATAAATGCATGCACTTTTAATATTTAATTTCTATACACTCTCATGTCCCGCAACATCTTATAAATAAAGTTTTTTGTATATCTCTCTCACGCGAATGCAGAATCCTATATATAGATACATACGCGTAATAGCGAGCGAGCGGAAAGAAAAGTGTATTTCTTCAAAAATAATAGCACCGTCAAATAGCGTTCGCCACTTTCTTCGGCGACTTGTTTCGCAAGTCGGACATTTGCTCTGGCGGAAAACGTTACTACTCTTTTCTGCAGAAAACGTT